ATTATTATTATTATTATTATTATTATTATTATTATTATTATTATTATGGATCATCACACAGTCAGCCAGATGTTCAGACTGGATTTGGCATTTTGTCTACCTATTGAGTCCTTACCCAGGACCTGAGATAGGCAGATGTGGATGTTTGATGACATTACAGATATCGTCGCAGGATGGAAGCAGTTCCTAGTAAGGCCGCCTTTTGCAATTGACTAATAGCAAATTTGTCAATGCCAATGGTGTTCACGTGGTGCTCCAGTTGTTTTGGGATTGCACCCAAGGCGCCTATTACTATTGGTACTACCTTGCTTGCTTTTGCCACAGTCTTTCTATTTCTATTTGTAGGTCTTTGTATTTTGTTATCTTCTCCAGTTTTTTCTCGTCTATTCTGCTGTCTCCAGGCACTGCCACGTCCACTATCCAGACTTTTTTGTCTTTCTTATCGGCAATTGTTAAGTCCGGGGTGTTATGTTGCAGTTGCTTGTCTGTTTGAATTCTGAAGTCCTCCAGAATTCCTCAGCTAATTGCTGGCTGGGGAATTCTGGGTGCTGAAGTCCACATGTCTTAAGGTTGAGGACTGAGAAACCCTGATTTAAATGAATGAAACAAGGAATAGATTCGTAATGAGTATATAAATTTATAATAAGCAATTCTCTATGTTGGAGAAAGTATAATGATTGTAAAGGTGAAATATCAGGACAATATAAATGATGTCTAATTTCTTAAATATTCAGAGTATGGGATATATAAGGCAGAAGAAAACCAACAAAAGTGTTACAGAATTCTTGTCGCTAAATTATTCTAAAACCATTAGCATCTTTACCTACATACATGGCTCTCTGTTTACTTTTTTTTTTAAAATCCATTTGCTATTGTCTTGAGCTTTTATTCCCATGTTCGTAATAATGTCTGCTTTGTATAAAATAAATTGGTGGGCTGTCTTCAAGATTTTTCTTTTCTTTTGTATCCACTTTTATATTTTGCCCTTGATCCAGATTCTTTATGAATTGATTCTAATACTTTTTCTTTTTAAAGAGTTCTTGAATAAATACAGTAAGTACTCTTTTCAAAGTGGCTTTTATAGCATCCACTAATGGGATGATGTTAAGAAGACTTTGAAATGCTCTGTTTTAGTTACTTGACGTTTCCATATATGCTCCCTGTATTTTTGTGTGCACATGATACACTGCACCACAGACTAGCCAATTGCACGTGTGTGGTCTGTGCTCCGTCGATGGTTCAGTGATTTCCCCAATTTAAAACCTTTGCTTAAGTTTGTATACCTGTGTTCTGCAACACAGAAGGAACAAAAAAAAAAAAGTTCTGTCTTCAGATACCCATCTCTCTGCAGCAAGCTAGGAGGAAGTAGCTTGTGGCTTTGCACTGTGTGTGTGGCTATGTTGCAAGGCCACTAATAAAAACAAAATTGTGAGGATGTACCCAATCATTGCCCAATGCTGTAGTTACAGATTGGTCCATTTTGTAATTAACTAGTTGGCTAAGATCATGCAGATGGCACGTGGATTTCACTATGCTTTGCATTGCCATGCCCAGTTTTTGCCTGGGCCTGGTTGATGAAGGACTGGATAACTGGACAGTGCAGATGTCAGAGCTGCCATCCTTCGCTCACACTTATCGTATGCTTTGCTAAATGCCAGCCTGCCATAAGCCATGTGGGAAGCCATGTGGGAAGCAGGACTGGCCTAGGGGGAGATTTTTAGCGGGGTTTTAAAAACAATTTTAAATTGACACAGGCCAAATCCAATATTTCATTTTAATTTGTTTTAAATTGGGGTATTTTTGTATTTGTTTTTTATCAGGCTGTCAGCCGCCCTGAGTCCGTAAGGAGAAGGGCGGGGTACAAATTCAATAAATAAATAAATAAATAAATTAAATAAATAAATAAAGATGAGGGGGGAACCGAAAGTGATCTCCGTACCATCTGGAGACATCCCAAGGCAGCAGACCTGGAAATGGAATGTAACGTCTATCTATCTACCCAACCATTGCGAGGATAGCTATCAAAACATCTTCTTTGAATGTCACTGAACAATAGGAAGATAAGGGGGGGTGGAACAGAGATGGGGAAGTTAATTAGGATTCCTAGATTCTTCGTGTGCAAACCTGTAGATCCGGCTTCACTACTCTAACCACTTGGCTTTTAGTAAAAGTAACCTTTTTGCTACAAATAGAGTCCAGACCCAATCTGGTCTTTCCTAGGAAACCAGGCTGAACCCCTGACAGGGGAACTGATCTCGGATCTCTGGGGAGGGGCAAAGTTAATGCCAATAACCTAAGTGATTGTGATTAATAGTTTTCCCACTGCTACAGTGGCCTTGATTGAGCTCATGAAAGCTAGAAGAGATTTTAAGTTTGTACCACAATTGAACTAGGGTTTTGAAGGTTGATTCCACAAGCCTATGGTGGGGTGAAATGCTGAAGTGAAAAAAATAACAGAATAACAGAGTTGGAAGGGACCTTGGAGGTCATCTAGTCCAACCCCCTGCTCAAGCAGGAAACCCTATACCATTTCAAACAAATGGCTGTCCAATCTCTTCTTAAAGACTTCCGGTGTTGGAGCATTCACAGCTTTTAGAGGCAGGTTGTTCCACTGGTTAATTGTTCTGTCAGGAAATTTCTCCTTAATTCTAAGTTGCTTTTCTCCTTGATTAGTTTCCATCCCTTGCTTCTTGTCCTACCTTCAGGTGCTTTGCAGAATAGCTTGACTCCCTTTTCTTTGGGGCAGCCCCTCTAATGTGGAAGACTGTTATCATGTCACCCCTTGTCCTTCTCTTTGTTAGACTAGACATGCCCAATTCCTTTCACCATTTGTTTTAGCATCTAGTCTGCTGGTGATTGTCCCAAAGTCACCCAGCCAGCCTTCATCTCATCATCTAAAACTCATCATCTCCTGGTAATTGTTGCAAAGTCACCCAGATGGCTGTCATGCCTACGTTGGGACCAGTCACCAGGCCCAAAGTCATAATGTCCATTTGAAATCCAACCAATCCACAGGTGGCACATTGAGCGGGTAACTGGCACAGTTGGTGCACATCTCAAGGTCTTCTCCGGCTTTTGTTTCTCTGATAAGGGAGACACATTCCTTTCTCAAGTGGATAGAGGTGGAAGAAGGAAAGCAGAAAGCAAAAGTTATCCCAGGCAAAAGCAAACATCTCCCCCTCCCCCCAGCGAAATGGCAGCCCCCCCCCCAAAGCAAAGCACAAGAATATATACATAGAAGGGAGACAATAAAGGTTTGGGGACCTGACAATGGCGATGGTGAAAAGCAGCTAATTAGAAAGAACACAAGCACACAGCAAACAGCTGCCCAACTCCTGAATGCAGATTGGTCCATTTTGTAATTAACGAGGTGGCTAAGATCATGCAGGCGGCACATGAATTTCACTGCGGTTTGCATGCCCTGCCCATTATTTTTTTTGGGTCTCTGCACAGTTGATGAATCTGATCTTCGCAAGGGAGGGGCAACATTATAGCCAATACCTCTAAGTGATCTTGATTAATAGTTTTCTCACTGCTGCAGCGGTCTTGATTGAGCTCACTAAGGCTAAAAGGAATGTCAAGCTTGTACCCAAAATGAACTGGGGCTCCAATAAAGGAAAATATTTATAGCTCAGGATTGAAATGGGGGGCCCTTGGTGCTCTCTGAGCTTGGTTGTTTTCTTGAAGACATTTTGTTACCCAAACTAGGTAACATCATCAGTGCTTGCACTGAGGTTTTGAGATAGATTAATTCTGCCAGACATAGTCCTAGGCACAATAGAGCCTGGTCACCAGTAAACCTGCTTACAGCTTCTTAACTTTTTAATGTTTTTCCACACTGAAGGTCATTAGGAACCTGGCAATTAAAAGTCACTGAATGCAGCCATGGTGCAAAATATCTCCATAATTGTTGAATAATCTCACAAGATCAGAGAGCTCCTGAAATGTCAGCTATTTCTTTACTTTTATTTTTCATTTTTCATTTAAGAAATCAAGCTGTGCCCTCTAGGAGAATCTCACACGTGGAGTGGTCCTGTGTGGTAATCCTTAGTTTAGCTTGAGATGGGAATCCAGCCATTCTCTTTACAGCAATCAGAGACATGGAGTTTTCTCTGTATTATAGCAAAGCAAACTTTATTGAATGAAAAAAAAACCCAATGAAAAAATATACACAAATTATATGCAACAAAGGTAATAAAACTGTTATATCAAATTATAAACAGGAAACAAAGGAAATGAGGATCTCTTATATCAGGGATGTCCAACCTTGGCCATTTTAAGACTTATGGATTTTATCTTCCAGAATTCCTCAGACAGCCATCTGGCTGGGGAATTCTGGGAGTTGAAGTCCACAAGTCCTAAAGTTGCCAAGGTTGGACACCCTTGTTTTAGATGTTCTCTTTCCCTAGTTGGAAGACAGTGATAGAACAACTGCTTGCATGCTGGCAGTCCAAGGTTGACTCTTTAGCCTTTCTGATTAAAAAAAGGTTATGGGAAATGCCTCTCCCTGGAACTCAGTGTCTACTAGAAGAAGTTAATAAACAAATAGCTCTAGTAAAAGCAATTTACACATCTTCCATAACTACCACGCATTTAAGTTTGAGATGAGCTTTCCAGAGGACCGCACCTTGAAAAACAGTGCAAATTATTGGATTGGAAGTGAATTGAATGAACTTCATTGAAATCAAATTCATCAGGTTTTAAGACCCTATTAATTTCAATTCATGTAATGTCCATTGATTTAAAGGCAGCTGTGTCTGAATTCGAACCTTTTGTTCTTGAGCAAAAAAAAAGAAAAAAAAGGGGGGGTACTGAGAGGACCTCCATGAAAAAAAAAATCTAATAAATAGATTTCCATAATCTTCCAGGCAGCCTTTTTTGTATATATGGTTATGGGGCCAACTCAGATTCAGTTAGGTCTGTGCGTCTGATGACACATGACCTGGATTGCTATACCAGAATCTGTCTACTTTGAAATTTTTTATTATTTATTTATTAAATTTTTATGCTGTTCATCTCCCCTATAAGGCGACTCTGGGCAGAAATAACATCTCTGTTTGGAGAACATTGAGTTCACACATCCTGAAGAACTCTTTCAACGGTATGACCACCAATGAGTAGAACGGATGGTGATTCAGGTAATATTGTCCTGAATGTGTCTATTTTAATTTACTTATCTGTTCAATTTCTAAGCCACTTCCATTGCCCAAGCGACCCTAGATGACCCACGTATTAAAACAATAGCAAATATGGGTAGTGGGAGACACAAATAGTTTTGAAAATAGACTAAATGTCGATTGAAATGCAAGATGTTATATAGGGAAAGCCATCAGGTAGAAGTTCACAGTGGAAAGCTTGCACACAGTAGTGGAGCTGATCTGCTGAAAATGACTTCAATCTCAGAATTCCTTATTTAATGTTGGAAGGTCAAGGAAGTGGAGGAAGGTTATCTGTAAGAAATTCGGGGACCTGGATTTTTCAAGTCACTGTATATATCCATTCGCTGCCCTTGAAGTTCCTGCAGGGAAACAGGATATATGTATATTATCATTGGCTTTTCCCAAAGAATCTTAAGCTCTGATAAATTAGTAACTAGTCCAAAATTTTCTTTTGAGCCTGACCAGATGTCTTCAGGAAATCTGCAAATCAGGTATAACTTCAACCACTTACTTTCCTGTTATATTGCTCCAAAATCTATACTCTTCAGAATATAGATTATTTGAGAATGTATAAAGGTTCTATTTAGCCAAGAGATGATAAAAGACCGATTTACGAATTAGCTGCATTCTCCTTCTTAGTAACATTGACAGGTACCGGAACTAAATTCTCAGAGTTTCCAGCAAATTTATGATAAAATTCCTATTTATTGGGAATGCCTGGTTGACACCAACTTGATAGCAGAGAATCAATGATGCACATTTAACAAACCATCATGATTGGGTTCACATCAAGTCAAAACCCAACAAATCACATAGTACTCTCTCTGACTCGGTTCCTACATCTAAATTCTAAACCTGGCTTAACAAAGTACAACTGCTGTGTTCAAAATAACCTATCAAAATTATGGATGGTGTATCACAACAAGCTGTCCCACAAACTGGGTGAATGCAGCTGGCCTCTTATAGTAAAGCCAACATTGTGTGTGTGCATACAATGTCAGATGTCAACTTCTCCTTGTTTTCCCTACCAGGCTAGTACTAAAGCTGCAATTGTCACTCTACACCCAACAGGAAAGACCTCAGGAAGAAAAGTAAATATAGTATTTATATGTTATACGTACCTCATAGGGAGATTCATGCTGAACTTTGTCTGCTAAGAAGAAAGAGAAGACTATCAGTGTATGAAAGATATTTTTTAGATTCCATCTGAAGAGAGTTAAGAGGAGGGAGTGGAGGTTGTGTTCTCTCATGCTGAAAGGATGTGACACAGAAACTGTGGTTAATGGTTTACTGAAAGGCTGCGGCTGCAAGCTAGGATTGCCCAACTTGAATCTTCAGACCAAGTTACCTGACCTTCTTTGAGCTTAAAAATAAAAAGAGGTTCTTATGACCACGTTTCAGTATATATTTACTTCCTTACAAAGGTGGTTTTCTGAAGAATTCTAGCTTGTTCCTGTACTACCTTCCTCCATTTTAATGCTTCTTTTATAATATTTTAGATAGATGATAGATAGATAGACAGATAGATAGATAGATAGATAGATAGATAGATAGATAGATAGATAGATAGATAGATAGATAGATACTGTAGATAGATAGATAGAGAGAGAGGTACAGATAAATAAATATAGATATAGATAAAATATAGATTATAGATATAGCTCTCTCTATATAGAAGATTTTTAACCTGTTATCTTCCTTTTTGTCTGCTAAAAACCAGAAAAAGAAAGCATAGGCCCTTCTTTTTTTTCAAATGCACCAGGCTTGCATTACAATCTAGAATAGTGTTTTTCAAACTTGGCAACTTTAAGACGAGTGAGCTGACTCCTAGAATTCCCCACCCAGCCACTCTAGCTGGGGAATTCTGGAAGTTGAAGTCCACCCATCTTAAAGTTGCCAAGTTTGAAAAACGCCGGTTCTATGACCTTGTCTTAGAGAGGGTGTGCAGATTGTACTTGGCACGGATGGTATGCTAAACAGTCAGGGTCAAGTCCATCAAATGCCATCTATTCTGCCAAGTGCACATTCAGCAACACAGCCATTTGCTGTGGGCACACAGGCATCCCGTCTCTTTCACTTAGATCCATGCACCATCAAGCACTGACATTTCTTCAAGGGGAAAGTGTGCACTGGGGACATGGGATCTGCCTCCTCACCTCTGCTGGTGGCTTGCTGTTTATAGATACAGCTGACCACGTAGTAGACTCCCAGAGCAATGAGCAAAGTCAGGAACAAATCTCCCAGCACAACTCCTGCAATGGTGCCGGGATCAATCTTATAGCAATGACCACAATCTGGGGATTAAAAAGGATAGAATTGTGAGAAGCATAGAGATATACAGTACTTTATGAGGCTTCACATGTCCTAATTTCTTGGCAATTAGAATCTGGTCCTACCATGGAGTCCTAAGTGTTCTCTGAGCTTAGTTGTTTGCTTGCAGATGTTTTATTACCCGATCAGGTAACATTGTTAGTGCACTGATGATGTTACCTAGTCAGGTAATGAAATGTCTGCAGCCAAACAACCAAGCTCAGAGAGCACCAAGGGTTCCATAGTTCACTCCTCAGCTACAGATATTCTCTTCCATTGGGCTGGTCCTCCCATTAAGCCAAAGTAACTTTCTCTGCAGAAGCATCCCCAATTTAGGGCAGATGCAAAGGCAGAAGAGTTAGCAGCAATATTCACATTTTCTATTTTCTGTTAGGCCCTGCTACTCACTCTGTTTTTTGCCTGCATTTGCAGCCTGGAATAGTTGGAGCAGGTTTGGGGAAAGGGACAGACAATCAGATCAGGGAACAAACAGTTTTCAGTTTTAATTTATTATAATCAAAGATCGGGAATAAAAAAACAGGAAAAGCGAGTTGCGGCTGCTTTGCCTATTGCTAAATTGGAGTTTTAAAAGTTCAGCTTGTTTCCTTCAGCTTGTAATTTTTATTTATAATTCCAGAGATTGGATGTAGGGGAGAGCATTCTTTCATTTTTATAGAATTATAAAGCATCGGTAAAGTATAACACTGGCTGCATGTTAAACAAGCACCTTTGTACACAATTCTCCACATCTTGCTATCTTTTTCAGGTTTTCAGGTTTTCATTTCAGCAAGCTATTTTCCCCTACACAATGTAGTTTTCTTCTATGTGAGTTTCATCATTAGGGGCGCTTCCCCATTAATAGGACAGCAGCACGGCAAAAATTCAAAAATGAGCGAATTTCATTGTTCCCATATATTTCAATTGGCCTATCAGTTTAAGAGCAAGGAATGAAGAAATTGCAAATTGCATATTCTGCCTTTAATAAGGACCAGACTGAATCTATAAATAAGTACAATAGAATGCAGAACTTGGAGACTAGATGGAAAACACCAGATGCTATGCCATTGCTGACAGCAAGCAGATGTTGGGTTTGTTCAACAATCTGGAGAAGTCACTAGAACAGTGATACGATATGCATATCAAAGGTGACACACCAAAATGTTTTGGGGGACACACCGGTATTCATCAACCCTCGACTACAATTTTTCTTGAAAGCACAATCCCTTTCTCACACAATTTTCAAAGGCCGTATGAGAATGAGGTGTGTTCTCGTGCAGCTTCTGAGCCTTTCAGAGTTGATAAAACTCTTGTGAGAATGAGGTGTGCTTTTGTGCAGTTTTTGGAGGCTGTGGAAGAGCATTCTTTGGAGCTGCTTTAAGAAGATTAGGGGGGATACTATTCCCCAAAGTTCACATGCCTTGAAGAATGACACAAGGTGGCCTTTCTGAGGGACAATGTTGGCACTAGGGTTGAAGTTGAGGTCTGGGGAGTTGAGAATTGTTTCTATTTTTTTTTGTGTGTGTGTGTATGTGACATGCAAGCAGAATCAAGTTAGGCATTTTCAAATTTTTTGACACGCTAAGTCCAAAAGGTTTGCCATTCCTGCTATAGAGAAATCTACATGAGAATAGGGTGTACACTTAAGAAATGCATACCTACGGACTATATTAATTGCAAACCACTAGTTCTCCAGCAGCGAAGCAGTGTGGAGAAAAAATTGGTGCAGCACTAAAATTTTAAACAGCAACGGTTTTCCTCTTTGTATACCAGAGGACAAGTTGCATTGTCTAAATCATCTTTCTGCAATATAATTCCTTACGGATATGACTGGATTTTAATTCCAGATCTAGTATGGTATAGCTGTGACAAATGCTACACGGCCAGTCTCTCTCTCTCTCTCTCTCTCTCTCTCTCTCTCTCTCTCTCTCTCTCTCTCTCTCTCTCTCAACCCACTTCACAAAATTTGCTCTTGTGGATCAAAAATGAGAGCAGCCAGTGCCATCTTCAGCTGTTGAAACAACAGTATGATATAAATCTGATTGATTTATTATGTGCCATCAAGTCAATGTTTGACTTCTAGTGACCACATAGATTTTTCTCCATGAAAAAGAAGTCTGATAAATAAACTCCCAGGCAGCATAAATATTCCAGCAAACATTTGGAGGGGACACGTAGTTCAAAACCTTTGTTCGGCATCAGACTTGCAAAGTGTGTTCCCAAGACACATTTATTTTTGTGGCACTTCCCTGTTTTCACTCTGCGTCATTGACAGGCTAGGCAACTATTTATGAACAGAGACGTGAAATGGCTCTTACCGTTTGCAACTTGAGCAGCTCCTGTGGAAAAACAAACAAAGGGGAGGCTATGTCTGTTATCTAGTTTGCAGCACCATTTTAAAAAGCCCCCTCCCCAATTCATTTCTACCAGAGACGACTTTGATAGGAAAAGATTCCAGATCTTCCAGCCATATTGTAGCACCTTTTCTAGCAGAAAGCAAATTTTATTCAAAGGCATCGGCTTTTGTGAGTTGCAGCTCACTTCATCTGATGCATAAACTAGGTTAGTGTTTCTCAACCTCGGCAACTTTAAGATGTGTGGGTTTCAACTCCCAGGACTCCCCAGCCAGCATGTTATACATATAGCAAGCTGGGGAATTCTGGAAGTTGAGGTTCACACATCTTAAAGGTTGAAAAACAGTGAGTTGGATCAATATAGGATTTCAGTGGTGAGGCTGGGAGAAAGGAAAGGGAGACACGCTGGTTATGCAGATGGAAGTTACATGTGAGATAAATTACAAGTACCTAATCAATTAACAAATGTAATGTGCTAAAACATCATTGGGTTGGAGGCCTTCTGAGATTGCCTGATGTTTTTGGGATGTGTGCGAGTTCAGCAATGGCTCCCACTTCGCCCCAATTGAATCCTACGTCAATCTAGCCACTTGGATGACGTGAGCTGTAGCTCATGAAAGCGTCTGCCATTTATTAGTCAGTAAAGATTCTGCCAAACTCTGCCTTTTTTTTTGCCACTATCAATTATCCAGAGAGGGACTATAACGGAGGGTTAATATTTATGGGTGAATTTTAGGTTTGTCAAGCCATCAGAGAGTCAAAAAACAATTGGCTCACGTTTGTTTCTTTTACCCGTTGCTTTAATCTACAGAAGTCAAGCGAGTAAAGATTCTACATTCGTGAAAATGAGCAGGACCACAATGTTTAATTTTTCCAAGCTTTTTTTTTCCAAGAAGGGGAAAAAGAAACACTCCCTCTGGAAGTGTTGAGAGGCGATTGTGCTGCGTCGATCAGCTTTGGAGCTGGCTGCTCTTGTTAGTATAAACCTTCCATTTCACTCGGCATAATTAACTCAGTTACCAAATCAATACATTTTCTGTGATTGCGCAATGTGTTGAGTTATATATTAGTCAAGTGAGTGGATGGCACACTAGGCCGCAAAAACTTAACCAAGATTAAAATTATGCAACCTTTGCCAGTTGTATAAATACAGGTATTGCTTAATCTGGTATTTTGTGAGGGAACACCCTGCCATCAGTGATATTTCAGGCCCAAAGACGCTGGGTAGAATGTCTTGGGGGTAGGGGTATCCATCTCCCATTTTATGTCTCTTCCCCCCAGTTTTCTCATGTTTTAGAAGAGAAGGGGTAAGAGAAAAACATGGTATTTTAAACGTTTAAAATAAAAGATGTAGGGGAGGTGGATTTATACTTGCTGAGCTGATTGTAGCTGCAGCATTGTACAGAATAAGCCATAACGCATTTCCTCCGAGAATGTATCACAGGACTATTATATTATGCAGAAGTCTTAACTTCTGGGCCGGCCCTGCCCTCCTTTCCCCCAGATCAGATTCTTTGCAACGGATATGAAGGATTGTACATTTTTGACATAATGGAACAGGAATACAAAGTCCACTACTGAGAGCGGAACTGAATAGAAGTCCCAAGAAACCATTTTGAACTGATATTCTCATGTTGCATTTCCTTGGTCTTGACACCCAAACATTTTTCAGAGATTTTTTCCCCTGAAAATGTTTTTTAAAGTGTTCTATAAGATTATAGGCTTTAGAGAAGCCATCAGTCCTTCAGAGATATAACAAACTGTGGTTTAAAAAGATGATCTGAGAGGCTGTAGCTAGAAA